GGGGGCTTGGATGTGTGATGAGAGAAGAAAAGAAAGTAAAAAGGCTTGGAAAAGCAGCAGAATATTTGAACTGCAAACTTTTGAACTAACTTGATGGCGAATGATCTGTCGCCATGCCAACGGCATTTGATGACATCCCATAATACGCTTAGATGTGTTGATGGTTACCAAACCTGTGAAGTTTTGGGCCATTTGGAGCATTTTCACTGAAGTTATGAGAAAACCGTGTTTCATGGCGAGCATTGTGTTGCCATCAGGGGCGTCGCCTGGACCTGAAAACATTCGGGGCTTAGCCCTCAGTGGCGGCGGCACTACAGTGGCATTTTTTACTGCAACACTCCCCACACGCACACACACAGTACACCCGCGACTGTTACAATGAAGGCTCGATAATCAGCTCAGGCATATAGGCAGGGGTAAAGTGGTATTTTTTATGAGTGTGGGGCTCACCTCCTCTAGGGGGGTCCGGGGGGATGCTCCCCCGGGAAGATTTTTTTTTAAATATTGAAGTTAAATGCATCAATCTGGTGCACTTTGAGAGCAAAATTAAGAGATCTATGGATACCTCTCTCAACACCCATATGAAGCAGAACTGTAAACAGATGTACTTTTTCTTTATGGATATTTTTTTCTTTATGGATTATTTTACTGAAACCCCATAATTGACGTAGAGCTGTTGAGGGCTGGACCGTTAACCATTATCTGAAGTGTGGTGCTGTTTTGACCCTTTTCATAGGCGTTACGACAACATCGTGTTTTATGGCGAGGGATACGTTTCCATGGAAACGGCATATGGTGAGATGTCAGATTTGACGTAGAGCTGTTGAGGCATGGAGACGTGATATACAGGTGAAGATTGTGGGACGACCGGACCGTGTCCATTGGAGCTACAGCGACATCGTGTTTTATGGCGAGGGACGCGTTTCCATGGCAACCGCCTATGGTGAGATCTCAGATTTGGCGTAAAGCTGTTGAGGCATGGACCGGTGATATACAAGCAAAGTTTGGGGGACGATCGGACCGTGTCCATTGGAGTTACAGCGACATCGTGTTTTATGTCGAGGGATGCGTTTCCATGGAAACGGCATATGATGACACCCCATAATTGACGTAGAGCTGTTGAGGGCAGGACCATTAACCATTATCTGAAGTCTGCTGCTCTGAGCAAGTCGGTTGGAGTTATGACATCATCGTGTTCCATGACACAGGTGTTTATATTTGAGCTAACGACGTGTCCAGAGATCAAAGGTTTCCATGGTGAGACTTGTATTTACATAACATAGAGTGGGAAGCTTCCCCATTATGTAGGAATTATATAAATAATTCAAATAAATGTGGCAAAGGCTCAAATTTGTTGAACAACACATTTGTAACAGGTTTGTTAATTGACCAAAAAATATGAACAGTTGGAAGATTGAAAATGGGATTATTATTAGGATTATTTGTAGGTCATTGAAAAGTAGAATCATTTAGAAAGATGTGAACATTGGAGTTTCTATTTTAGAAAAGCTGACACTGTAGTGCATCGCTGGTTTTAAAAGTGATGTATAAGAGTCATGTTTAAAGATGTGCAATACTTAAAACGTTTATAAAGATCCTCTGAGTGTGTGTCATTAGTTAGCTGATAAAATGTTAGGGATAAATACCTTGACATATTGACTACAAGAGCTTGAATCAAACAAGCAACCTTGTATTTGAAAGATTAAGGCGCCGTTTACACGAGGAGAAAACTGCTTGTATCTGCATAGTTTCGCGTGCGTATAGCCCTATTATTTACACGAGGCCGATAGAAACTGACCCCACAAACGATAACGGGTACCAAGGTGGATAGATTTGCAAACGAAACGCTCTGGGGGGTCAACCGAGTCCGTGTAATCACCTCTATACGAATATTTCCTGAAAAAATAACGATAGCCCCACCTTTCCCCACCTCTCCTGCTCACTGCTGTAGCATGGCTGTGTTAATTAAACGCACAAGGGGTTCTTGAATGAAATAATATTATAAAAGGCAAACCAGAATTGTTAACGCCCAATATACTCCTTAAACAAAATAAACAGAGTCAGATTTCATGCATTGATCCATTATATTGACAAAGGAGGATCTCACCCGGTGTTTGTAGAGAATATCTCTCTGAGCGAGTCCTCTCCACGGAGACATGCTCCTCCTCCTGTCAGTAGCTACTGCTAGTGCTACTGCTACTGACCATGCTACAGATATTAGTGCAAAAATATACAGCTCCTCTACCACAACCATCAGCAACAAGTGGACATGGAGAATTACATGAACTACATGTTGCTAAATACACGGCGGGGCATGAACAGAAGGGTAGCCATGGCAACATTGCGGCGGGGGCTGCTGGGCTGCTCTTCTTCGCTACTTTTGGTGTATTTTGGCGGAAGTTACAGCGCCACTTACAGTCCCGGCATATGTACTACAGCGTTTCCAGCGGCCTCGTTTGAACAGACACGTTAAATGAAACAAATGCATGTGAACGGAAGACTTTTTTGAATACGCATACTGTGCATAAACGCAAACGGTCTCGTGTGAGCGGGGCCTAACTCACATAGCAACAGTCGCACCTGGTATATAAGTGGTGTGGCTGAGTACTTTAAAGGGTTCATAGAGGGGACTTGAATGTGAAATAAGAACAAGAAAATAAAAGTCTAAATGCATGAAAAAGCAGCAGAATATTTGAACTGAAAACTTTAGAACTAAAAGCATACGTCACCAATAATGTCTAAAATATGTGGAACATGTTGAAGTCAGTATGAAGTCTCCATCAGATGGAAAATAATAGGCTGAGACAGTCTGTTAAACTCCAGTGACCACGTCATTAGTCTGCTGCTCTAATTATGTCAATTGGAGTTATGACATCATCGTGTTCCATGACACAGGTGTTTATATTTGAGCTAACGACGTGTCCAGAGATCAAAGGTGTCCATGGTGATCAGTGAGAGGAGAGCATTTTCATTGTTCTGAATGAGAGATAAACCTGTTACATGTGAACGTTTTGTTGAAGAACCGTAACAGATATCAGTGAAATTTCAAAGTGTGAAGCATGTCAAGGAACATGAGCATCTGAAGTGTACTTTTTGTGTACTTTCGGGTTAATAATGTGGCCTTTTTGGCAGATTAACTAAAGGTGTGCGGCTGCTGTGGTGGGGAAAGGCGAGGCTGAAGTTACAATGGGGTTTAATGGAGACATGTTGAAAGTTTTTGTCACTTCATGCCCTCAAAAGGGAATTTTGTTTAATTATTTTGCTTAATTTTGTTTTATCTTTCAAGCTACGAGATGTTTTCCTACGTTTGTCATGAAAAATTATGTCTCAGGAATGTAGGGTTTGGGAATTATGGCAGGTTTGAAAGAAAATATGAAGGCAAAATTAAATCTGTCCTCCACTCTATAGCTGTGACATCACGCACTCTAAAATCTGAAGAAGGCCTCTTTACCAAGGTCTGAACAATGTTTAATATCTCTAAAAGTAAGAATCAGACTTAAAAGTTGTGTTACACGAATAATGTCAGAAAGATGTGCAACATTTTGTGAAAGTATGAAGGAGCAGTTAGCAGTTGAAGTTGCATGAAGATTGTTGAAGTCTGAAGAGTTTCTCCATTGACTTCCATGTTAAAAATGTGATGTATTATGGGATGTATCTCTGGAATTATGAAAGTTATGAATGATAAAAGTAATAGCTATCGATTCCCGACCGAGCTGAACGTTTTGATGTTTGAACATTGAATGCAGGACTTTTACTTGTAATGGAGTATTTTAACAACGAGGAATTTCTACTTTTACTTATATAAGATGGACCTATCATGCTATATTTGAATAATATAGTATAGGACCATACCTATATAAGGCATATTTATACTTTTTTTTTTTCAAAATACCAAACAGATCATGCATTTTAGCCATGCCTCATTTTGCTCAATTTTACATTTTTTAGCTCTGTTTTTGCAAGGGCAGATTATGTGAGAACAACACCACCTACAGGCCTGGCATATGTACTACAGCGTCTCCAGCGCTTTCGAACGGCAATGGCCGTGGCTGTCTCCTCCTGATTGGTGGAGTTGGCCCAATAGCCGTAGCGCCACTGTCCTGACGTCAGGACAGTGTTCAAATCTGGATCAGTTTTTATCAGATCCGTTGCAGCCCCTTTTTTAGAGATTTGGGTATGGAGGAAAATAGAGAGGGTTGTGTTTTCTGACACTTGGTGAGTTCCCTGGAACACCGGGGACACATATTCATGTATAAAAGACGTACAAAAGTGCATTTTGCATGATAGGTCCCCTTTAAGTAAAGGATCTGAGTACTTCTTCCACCACTGCACACAGCTTTGTTTTGGTCAATGGTGTAACTTTACTAAGTACATTTACTCAAGTACTGTACTTAAGTAGAATTTAGATACTTGTACTTTACTTGAGTACATTTAAACTTTTATGCTAAGCTACTTTGTATTTCTACTCCACTACAATTCAGAGGTAAATTTATTTGTTACATTTAGTTACTTTACAGATTTGGATTAATGATGTGAAATATAATCAAGTCTTAAAGCAGACTTTAGTTCCACCTGAAGTAAATTCACAAGCTACCCTGCAGTATACAAAGTCATTCAAACTAGCTGCACCTATACCAGCTTTGATAACACTTTTTATGATCAATAATTATAAAACATATCATATTATTCTGAAATGGACCAATCTGCACAATGACTACTTTTACTTTTGGTACTTTAAGTATATTTGGATGCTAATACTTTTGTACTTTTACTTGAGTAACATTTTAAATGCAGGACTTGTATTCCTACACTCTGGTACTTCTACTTTTACTAAAGTACAACATCTGAGTAGCCTACTTCTTCCACCGCTGTAAATAGAATGGTTGTTTTACTTTGGAAGAACCCTCTCTCTTCCTGTATCATCCTGGTTAATGGTGGCTGGTTGACGCAGCACGTCTGCGTGAAAGCTGTACCGTCGCCTTGTCGAGTCATCGCCAGAGAAGAGCAGAGAGAGCAGCGGAGCAGCCGTCCCATGGCTTGAAACCGGGGAATAACTGTGGACCACAGCGGATTTATTGCGCCACACGAGCCTAGAGGAGCGAAACGGCGTCGCAGGAGCGGACTATGTTGATACGGATGAGGATTTAGCATCTTTGAGTTGCCTTTCGGTCGCGGTTGCAGACCCGGACAGAGACAACACAGACAGAAATAAGTACCAGAGCCGCCGCGACACCACCGAGCGAACTTGGCTTATCTTCCCGGTGGGAGGTGTCTGTCTGTCGGCTCCGGCTCGCTGCACAAACCGCTTCTCGCCACGCTGTTCGGACCTTTCTTTAGAAGGACACGGTTGTAACTAAGTTATGTTTTTGTAAATAGCTTCTTTTTGGGCTTTTTTGACAACCAACTGTGGCTTTAATGTGACGCACTATACTGACATTAGTGCTGTGTCGGAGCGGACCCCCTGCAGAGGAGTTCCAGGCTTTAAATCAAGTTTTCACCTTCATATTTCTCTGGTTCCCGGACAGACCTCACCAATGGAATAGGTAAAGGGACATTTTCACTTTTATTATTATGGTTTATACACATCGTGACTGGCTGTTGCCTGTGTGTTTTTAGCTGCAGAGCCTGGTTTCTGTAGTCCCTCACAGGCAGCAGTGAAGCCCGGTCTGCGGCTCAGTCTCCTACACAGCTCGCGCTCCATTGGCTCGAGCTCTTTCAGTTAGTACAGTTAGTAACTTGCAGACATTATTTAAACCACTTTTTTTTCTCACACAACTTTAAGAGATATTCTGTCATAATTTAGCCTTTATTAAAAATCAGCTCCGTAACGACCCTCATGGCTTTGCCCGGGACTTTTAATTGCTCACTATAATTAATTATAATTTATAACAGGATGAACAGCTTTCTTTCATTACGTTTTAATTAGCCCAACATAACGAATAGACGACTTGTTGGCATGGACCTATGATGCTTAACAAATCCATGATATTTTATTGATTTCAATGCTAGCCATCTACTCCTATCTGAAAAGGAATTGACAATGTTCTACCACCATTATGGGCCATATTTGAATGTTTATATGTGCATTATATGTTGCAGAGAGCTTGTTAATAGACGAATCAGTAAAAATACAATTCAATAAAAGTGTGTTATTATGCTTATACTCAAGGCCAATATGATGACCCATTATACAAGTAATTTAAATTCATATTTATATATTTTTTTCTATACATATTAATTTTCACAAAAAATTTACTTTCAAGGACTACTCTGATTGGTAGAAGCAACACACCTGTGTTAACTATAGGCTATACAGTACATTACCTGTCATGCGAACATTTTCATTATTTACCTCAATTACATTTTTTATTACACACTTAATTTTAAAATTAGCATCATCTTGTGTTGCTGTGTAAAATGTACCATCTCTGTTCTGTTTTCTGGCAGCCCTATGTCTGTACTCTGTAAAGAAGAAGACCTAACAACACCCCCTAGCTGTTGTGAAATCACTGTAAAACATCTTCGAAATAAGAGCCATGTGATCTAAACAAGAATAAGGCAGATGTTTTTCCAGCAGTACTAATGGGTTAAATACATGACTTCTCTTAACACCTACAGCATGGGTCATTAAATAAACAACTAAACGGCATGTATAAAGCTAGACATTATAAATTCTTATTTAAAACAGGTAGAAACAAGCCTTAAGGCACATACCTACTGTGACCTCTTGAGTGCTAATCCTTCAGCCAATTCCCCTAATTGAGGCAATATACAGTAGCCTGTGGGGCCAAATACATCCCTGGTGCCGTGCATGTTCTCAAATAGGAAACCAGGGCTCATTTAAACATGTGCAATTTAAAAGCCTCCTTAAAACAATGGTATCTGTCATTTTGTATGTGCTGCACATACATTTCATCCATTAACATGATTACATTTGGGCTGTCGTGCAGACCATGCTTTGCTATAAGGTGGTGATACGCCATGTATTTGTATTTATGTTTAAATGCTTTTTTTGCAGTTTAAAGACACGCATATAGTCTGTGCAAAGTTGCTCAGTGCAGTTTAAAACCCCATCATAGACAGATTTAATTATACGTAACTGAATGTCACTATTATTGTGTCGATAATACATGTTTAAAAAATGTTGTTTTAGACAGGAATTAATGCACATTCAATAATGTCTCCATCATCCAAGCAGCTGCTGTTCCTCAGTGCCACTCTGATAACAGAGTTATCTTTAGGATGTTATGTAAGGCAAATTCAGTTAACTTGTTTCTTACCACTTACTCAGTGTTCTGTAATGCAATCTGCAGAGTAATATACTTGTGCACTGTCCTCAGACATGCATCCAGGTTCTGTTTAGTAATTCTACCTCTGTCACTTTTGATGCCCCCTCCCCTCTCATGCTTAGCTGCTGAATTGCCACAGAGTAACCTTGAGGTCAGCCCAGTGGTGGTGACTTTGGGCTAAATTTGGAGCGTGGAGCAATTAGGCGCACACTCTGCTGCATCACTCCACTGAATTAACTTCACAGGGGCACTGTGGAGGGAAAGGTTGGTGGTTGGTGGGATGTAGATCTCTTTAGATGGTGATAACGATTCCTCAACCCAAGTCACCTTTTCATAATGAATCTGCAAACAAGAGTTTTTTCTTGACTCATCTAGTATTGCTACTTTGCCATCCAAATGTAAAGAACATCCGAATATGGGTGACATATCTGATTAGTGTTTGGATAAGCTGACAGATTTGTCAACTGCAACCAAAAATCATGGCAGCATTTGGCTGATGTTCATTTCCCACCCTGCCTCCCCAGTCGCTCATACTGCTGATCTCTGGCCAATTGGTGATCAAATGTTACAGTATCTGGCAGCTTTTATATTCTACCAGCCAATTCGGAGGGGAACCAAGTATCATTTGGAAGTCCTTTCAAAGATTTTTGGGTCGGCCAATTAGTCAAGTGGAAGCAGATGTTGACCTTTGTGATGTATGGTCAGATATATAAAGAAAATATAGTTTACAGCTCACTCACTTCTCTCTTTTTATTTTCAGTGACAAGGGCCGAAGCAGATCAAGCTGGGCCAGGCTGGGCCAGGCTAGGCCTACCTAGCCTTCTGTCTGGCCTCACCAGACGGGCCAGCGACCTCTACACTCCCATCCTCAACGATCTGTGGGAGCTTCAGCCTGTTCTGACAGACCCTTCAGCTGTAACAGATTGGATTCCAACCATATTTTGTTTCATCAGCCCTCTGAGGCCATAGTGGTCTGTTCTATCTCCAGTCCTTCCATGTCGTGGATGTCCCTCTCTGGATGTTGGAAACAGGATGGATTCGGGTGTTAATTTGACGGTTGTCACCTCATTGCAGTGCTTGCACCCCCCCTCCTTTGACTGGCTTTTGACTTTTCCCTCCCCAATCTCTAAGCGAAAGCCCCTGCCTCTCTCTTGGGGCTTCCCGGAGCCCTGTACAGGAGGGCCTTGTTGGAACTGTAGGTTGTTTTGTTGAAACAGTTGACATTACAAAGAGGAAGCAGATTTACCCATCCCTTTTCTTTTTTCCTGCGGTGTTATTTGAGGTTGGAGAGCTTTTCATTTGACAAAAGAAGCTTGCTAGCAGAGATTTGCGCCTGCATACACACGGTGTACATAGGTTTTATTTATACGTATAGAATTCTTCTTTTTTGTGGTCTTAGCCTCGGGGAGGAATGTCTGAAAGCAGTAGCAGCAGTAAAGCGGTAATATTCATTGCCCCGGCCTCCCCTCCTCCCTCAGCCTCTCCCTCTCCATCACCCCAGACCCCCAATAAGAATGTGAATGGCTCCGCCAGTTCAGAAACGGACGTGGTGGAAAAGCTCAGTGTCTACCCTGAGGTCCAGCGGCGGCGCCACACCATGGATAGAGACTCCAAAATAGCAGAGCACCGCTTCTTCCGCCGGAGTGTCATCTGTGACTCCAATGTCACAGCTTTGGACCTGCCCAGCAAAGCAGCTGTGATACTCACCTCGCCCCCAGACTGCCAAGGGCCTCCCACCTTCTTGCTTCCCCAAGCCCCTGGACATGGGCTGCGAGACGCTGAAGGAGATGAGCTCCCGAGAGGTGTGCAAAGCTCCATCCTGCATCCCGGCCTGGGGACTGGGGGGGCAGCAGCGGAGGGGCACATAGAAACTGCAGAGGAAGATTTAAGTAAAGGCGGGATTACAATTGCTCTTCCCACAAGTAGTATTGAAAAAGAACGTAGTGCAGAAGGGGCCGTGAAAGAGCCCAGCCCGGCATTATTGGATGTTAGCGAAAAAACAGCCGACAAACAGCCTGACGTCACATTGAGGCCCAGAGGATGCGAGGAGACACAACAGGTAACAAAAGACGGAAAAGCGATAGAACATGTGGACGGGGGGAGTGTTAGCAGTCCGACAGAGGAGAAAGACAAGGAGACGGAGGGGGAGAGGGAGCTGGCCAAAGCACGGGCGGAGCAGAGGGAGGCCGAGAAACGAGTGCAGGAGGATATAGAGGAGGTGGAGACAAAAGCTGTGGGCACTTCTCCAGACGGGCGCTTTTTAAAATTTGACATCGAGATTGGAAGAGGGTCCTTTAAGACTGTGTACAAGGGACTGGATACAGAGACTACTATGGAAGTGGCATGGTGTGAACTCCAGGTGAGTCCAGTCTCATAAAACTATCACCTCTTCAGTGTCTGTGCTCTGTCCCCTTCTGTTTATCTGGCCAAGGCTTTATAAATGTCTTATGTGGCTGTGGATCTCCATCAGGTTCTAAATTCCAGCCAAGTGCTGAATTTAGTTCATTTAATGATTTCTTCCTATTTCACCTTGAGATTGTGAAGTTACTGATATGTCTAAGAACTTCCTGCTCACCCAGGTGTTTCCTGTAGAAGTGGTCCCAAAAGGATTAAGACACTAGTGCAGATTACATGCAGGATAAAGCATTTCTTTGATGTTTTGATTTATGCTGCATTTTAGATAAAGCGTGACTATTTTGGATTAGCAACAGTGGGGCAACATTTTTTACAGATGAATCTTATCTACAATCTATTTATGTGTTTTTTAAAGCAGCGACAACAATGAAGTTCATGCTCTTTTGTCTTAACTTTTGAGATGTTTTGAGACTTATTGCACATTCCCTCTGAGGTTGTGTGCGTTTAGTAATGTTGTGTGAATGCTATGTTACACTGACAAAGCAATAGCTGTCATATTTCTTCTCCAAAAAGCTCCAACTATTAGAGATTTCATCTCTGGAAAACATTTGTTATATTTATTGTTTATATTATTGACATGTACCTGTAGCAGCTCCTTTGACCAAATGTGTATTTGTTTAATGTTGAAACCCAGTGGTGAGATGCAGAAAGTTGGCCTAAGTCTTTGGTTATTCAGATTGTGCACGAGTGACAGAAACCATGACTAACTTGGGTGGTGTTGATTAGGTACTGCTTAAAAGTGTGACTCAAGCACTTCTTTTATTATTGATCATGTTTGAATTTGTCATTGCCACATACCTACAGGTATCCCGCTCAAAGTCTCTGGTATTAACAGTTGATCTTTTGAGTATGTGAACGGATGCCGTGGTGCACCCGATTACGGCTACCACAAGTTGCATAAATGAGTATTGGATGATAAAAAAATCGAGGCCTAGATATAAGCGTGGGTTTGATTTGAGGTGGCAGCTTGTCAAATGTAGAGTGAATTCAGCATTATCTTAAAGGTCATAGAAGTTAGCATACGACTAGAGACTTCCTCGCCGAAAAGCCCAGACTGTCTGAGAGATTCAGGGTACTGAAAGCGAATCAGCAACACATCTTGCATCTTTCACCTACTCTGACTTCTTACACTACTATTCTAGCTGCTGTGGGGTAGTTTCAGTGTTGCTATAACCAGACTCGTTGCACTTCGCAGCTCCCTATCAGCTCTCAGTCTGTACAATACATACATCAAGGTTAACGGAAAGACTGCATCTTGCACACCGTGTGAAACTTGAGACAGGATGGCACACCGTTCACCACAGGATGCTGTTGCTACATTACGGTGCACTGATGCAACTTCTGCAACGAGTGTGTGTGTGAGAGACCGATCAAAAGTGTGACATGTAGAGGAGTTTGATGTGAGTTGGCGGGAAAAGTGAGACGGACAGAAAGTGGAAAAAAGTGTCTTTGCAGCTCGTCTTGTTGACAAGTTCTCACCGACAGAGGTGCATTCAGTAGTTGGAGTTGTAGAATAAGAGTCTGGTCATGTGACATTCAGGGCACTGACTGAGCTGAGTCTGCTTACCCTGATGTGACATGCTACAGCGTCACAAACAAATGTAACTTTTTATCTATCTTTATAGGCTAATTTGTCTATTCATTATTTTTTGAAACGGCAGGTAGAGGGGATCAAATAATTAGCCACATGCTTGGGTAACCTAGGCTAGCTTTTGCGGTCTGCTTCATCTTTTCATCATACTGTTAATTGAATAAGGACCAGAAAAGTCAAACGAGGTGAGACTTGTTTTCTGTGCAGATCTGCCCGTGTTTGTGTTTCTCAGTGTGCGATTTCTTTCCTGCAGGACTGCGTGGTTGTTTTCCTGTCAACTCCATCACAAGATGCTTCTCGAGTCCTCTTGAATCCCAGAAGCTAAAATCAGCTTCGCCTGATGCCCTGCGCTAAGGCAACGCTGGTTTGTTTAGCAGAAAACAAACAGATAGCCTCTGTAGTGCTTTCTCCCTCTGTCACCCTCACACATGCCTCTCTCTTTGACTCTCTTTGACTCTTGTTAGTCTAAAAGTGGAAACCTAGTGATTCTTGACAGCGTTGTGTCGAATTAATCAGGTCAAATACAGTTCATTGATCATCATTGATTTTGATGGAGATTTAAAAAAGAGAAATCATTTCTTACACAGTATGTAGTTTACTGTGCTCTGGATTACTGGAAAGACCAGCTCCATTAAACAATATATACGGCACTTGTTATATAAAGGAGTTGAGGCCTGTGGTGTGTAGGCCATATGCATGCAGAGACAAGTACTTCTCTGCAGGGCCTGGCTGTAATCCTGTGTGTGTGTCCGTGTCAAAGATGACTGAGCAACTGCTGACATGTGGCAGAATGGTGGGAGTAATGTTACTTACGCACACGTACGCACACAGACACACACATTACAACCAATCACATTCACACACTGGGTGGGCATGGGAACTAGAGATCTGTGGGATCGGGGATCATCTGGAACTGGTCGGTTTTCTATATGTGCAAATGTGTGTTTCTACGTATGTGTCTTTCCATCCCTTTGAGTCACTCTAATGTGTCCAGAGATGGAAATGGATTCTTTGAGTCTTTACATTCTTATGCATCTGTTCCAAAGCAGGTTCACTTCTGTTTCTGGGAGAATCTATAGATGGGCGGGACCAAAGGAGGAGGGGGGATGGAACAGATCGTTTGCTGAAGCTTTAGTGAAGAAATAGATTGATGAATAGATAGGAAGGTCACTCAGTAGCTTATCTTTAAGGTGCCTTGTTAAACTGGATGGGGAAGAAAAGGCTCTTGGAATGAGGAGAAATGGAAGTAGAAATGTTTAGGATAATTGAACTTAAAACAGCTTTGTTGTTAATGATTTCTGAAAGCCCTCAATCAGTGGAGCAAACAGTGAATGACTGTCAACAGGACTGCATACGCTCCATTCAATGAAGATACAGCTAGTAGAGTTAGGGCAGTACAAGAAGGGAGAATTAGGGCGGGAAAGGAGATCAATGAAGTTCTACTAAAGGGCAGGGATGGAGGGAGGAGGGGAAAAGGTCAAAGTGCAGCCCCCTTGTGTCCGAGGCGGTCAGTAGGAGCCTGTCCAGCTCTCAACTATCTTCTGATGGAGGGGGTGGAGTGAGACAGAGACGTAAAGAGCAAAAGAGAGATTCAATGGAACTCATTTCTAAAAGTTTGTATTTTAAGAAGGAGAAGCAGGATGAAGGCAGTGGGAGCAGATCAGATGAAGGACCTATAGGAAGAGGGCGGTGATCGTGGAGGGAGTTCAGTGAGAGAATAGAGAAATGGGAAACATCGAGAGTAGGGAGGAAGGAAAAAGTGGGAGAGAAAAAACAAAGGAAATGAAAAAAGGAGGAGGGGGAGGAAAGGAGAAAAAAAACTGAGGACCAAAAGAAGAGGGACCCCGAGTCTGTGTTTGTGTGTGACCCCAGGCTCTTAGCTCCACCGGCACTCAAAGGCCTTGAAATGTCTCTCAACAGCAACGCAAGGCGGATTAGCCCCTTCCTCACACACACACATAGAAGAGCTCACACACACACTTTTGGGGCTTTGAGGCTCTCCTCCAATAACGGCCATTTAATCTGTGCCTTAGGAGGAAACTGGGGTCACATGGCTTCGCTGGCGAGTTCAAGTACTGCACAAAAGCAGCATTTGTCATTTGAATCATACGCACATTTGATTGTTTTCTATTACGATTTCCTTCTGCAGTGTGATTGCATATTTCTAACTCATAAAGTCTCCTCACCTCTAACAAGGCTAATAAAAAGGGCTCACCATGTCCAATTTTAGCAATGCACCAATTTGTTTACAGTGATGACCCATTTTAACCCAGTACTGGCCTGAAATGTGTCTGTGTGTTGGTTAGAGGCCAGAGGAAGGGAGGAAACATCAGCTTTGAGGGAAGGAAGAGTATATTAAGATGTTTGTCAGGGCAGCCAATTTAGAAACTGTTTTGTCCCACATGGCAAAACAATGGATTCTCTTTTTGCACTGTAGCTCTTATTCAAAATACAAATGATGACCTTAAAAACAACTACTATTCTGTGAGCATGAAACATTAAGCTTAAAAGTGGCATTCTGTATTTGACTGATGGATAAATATCCCCATACCTCTTATAGCAGAGGTGCAGCAGTTAGACTTTCCAGAGGTTCACATTTCCCTGACACAACATCACACTGCAGCTGTGTGGAGCCTTCTGCAGAAACTGGTTCACCATGCTGATTGATCCTCAAGTTGCTAAAAAGTAGCTTCCCCCCCTGAACCTCTCACACACTGACAAAAGGAATGGAAACTTCCTTTTACAGTTCAAATGTTTCTTGTAAATGTTTGAAATACTGGCTAAAGATAAATCCTTCCTTTCCCTTATTAGCAAGTAAGCTAGTGTGTGTGTGTGTGGGGGGGGGGGTGGCTGTGTGTGGGGGGGTGGGGTGGCTGTGTGTGGGGGGGTGGCTGTGTGTGGGGGTGTGGCTGTGTGTGTAGTGGGGGTGTGGCTGTGTGTGTGCTCATACTGCAGCTAGCTTTGGGGGTTGTTAACTTATTCATTTGGCTGAGCCTCGCTGCAGATGAGCTCAACTGTTTAATAATAGAGAAGTTAGTGGAAATGTTTTTTAAACTTGCAGGATGTTTGCTTTGTTTTGATAGTGATGAGCAGACACGTGGTTTTCAGGCTGATGAGTTAAATAAACACCTCAAACTATCAATTATAGCTACAATGAGCAGTGGTGGAAAGTCACCACATGAAAGTTCTTGATAAATAGCTTGTGCACACCGGCTATCAATCATCATGATAACATCACTCATCAAGCGTCTACTCTCCTCTAAAGGGTCCAGCTGTTAAATAGGCCGTATGTTGCATCCCCACTGAAGAATCTAGCGGTCACAAGGGCCAAACCACTGTTTCCTGGCCTGTAT